TATCTCCAATCCCTGAGAATACGACCCTACTTGCCCTGTCTACAAATTTATAATTATTTGTGAAAAAAAATCATCCCAGTCGGGTATATCGGATCAAGCAAACTCTTCAGAAACAGGGTGAATCAAGTAGCCCATTGCACACCTAGAGTCCCTACTCTAGTACTTGGAATCAGATTTTGGTTATTTTAACTGACAATTAGGTTATTTTTATTATTGTACAGGCTTCGACAACCTATTAGCTGTGCTATCACACCTGCACCCGTCCTTCCCTGATCTTAATGCAGAATTGAAGCCTTTTAATTGGCCTCAAGGTTGCCTTTTCTTGGCCTCTACATAAGTAATATGAACCTTTTTACCAGGTTTATACAATTAAGTCAACAAACAAATCACAATGCTGACAGATCTAAAGTTAGTGAAATGATCTACAATCTATAACATGTAAGCTGGTGAAAGATAACACTAAGATCTTTAACGCACTGAAAACATCATAAGATGCTAAAGTTAACACCAACTGAACTGCCATCGAGCAGTGTATTCTAAGCATCACAAATATTATCCTTTTTTCCAGATTTGAACAGTTGTATAAGAAAATCCACCATAGCCGTTACTCCCACCCTCTCAGAACTCCCACTGAATCTGACTCTGAAGGACCCAGCCTATCCCAACGTCCACTTTCCTACTCACCCTTTGCTCTGGACAACATGTACCTAATTATTTCTGAACTAGACACCAAGTAAACGAAAAAACTGTGAAGGGAATGGATAGCCATAGGTCAGATTAGATGTCTTGGCTGCATATGTGATTTACTACTGAACTTGATACATATATGTTGATTGTTATGGTTGAACATTCAGAAACCTTATTTATCTGTGTGATTTTGTGCCTTGATTGTTATCTAGGATAGCGAATTCCTAAATAATACATGATGTAGGACATTTTCACTATTATTATTAATACCTTTATTATAAAAGACGTTTCACCCCCAGGAAAATCCTTAGGATGTATAATTATCGCGGTCTAAAATGACTATACTAAGTAAAGATAGCAAGTTGGAAGAGCAAAAGCGTCGGGGAAATGAGAGAGGAAGGGCTAAATATGCATCGTTGACTGAAGAAGAAAAAGAGCGACAGCGACAAAAACGCCGAGATGCTTATAAGAGAAGAAAACAACAGACCTGTGAGGATGAAGCTAGTAGGTTGTTATTACAGCAACCTTTAGAAGTGAACGATGGAGACCAACAGAACAGTAGACCTTGTTATACAGGTAGGATGACTTTAAATAAGAAGAAGTAATCCCTAAGATACGTTTAACCAGGCCGAAAAATGTTAATACATCATTTTTTAGATGCGCACGACCCTTGTGGACCAATCTGCAAAAAAAATCTCATGTAACTGCGACTCCAAACAACTCCCCAAGTTTGCCGATTGTATTTTGGATCAATTCCAGCACTAAATGAAACCCAAATGTATTATTAAAAGCCAAGGCTGATGTTTTATACATAAATAAATAGGCGCTGCCCCAAATGTTTACTGTCAGGCCCCCTGTCGACATGGCGACACACAAAAAACCTCAGGTTGTTCCGCAATTAGTAACTTAAAAACTTTAGTCTAATTCCAACTTATATTTCACATATCTTATGTTAATCATATTCCAAATTGACACTTATAGATCAACCAGTGATATGCAGTAGATGTACTACCCTGTTGATAGATGTTATCAATGATATACCAAGCATAACTATAGCCGAAGGTAACACTCTAATAGAAAGTAGTCACCTATTCTACGATAAATTACATTCTAAAAAGTAATCACTTGCAATTCTTGATTTAGGATCTTCATCTTCATCGGCTGTGAACACTAGGAAACCCTCCACTCGGAGCAAGATATTGAAGCAGATGACAGGTTAAAATTTTCGTATATAGAGAGCACCTGCATTTTATACATATACCCCAGAAAACTAAACATTAATAAGAATGTGTTGTTTCTAACTATATCAAAATTATTGATTAGTGCCAGCTTCTGCAACGACTAAAGAAACTACAAAGAATAAGCAATCTGGACGACATAAACAAGGTAAATAAACATTTAAGAAAATTGTTTCTAAATTGGCTGAATATAAGTGCCTAAATCAAATTTTATTAAATGTAGGCAGCTCTGTGACTAAAGGAACTGAATTGTTATCCTCCGTTATCTTAGAAGCTGATACTTTACCTGAAGTAGATGACTGTAAGTATTGCGGGGCGAAAAAATTCTTTTCAGAGACTGCTAATTTTTGCTGCTCAGATGGAGAAGTAGTGTTGAAAGAAAATAAGCTTCCAGATATATTGATTAAATTGTTTACGGGGCAAACTGAAGAAGCTTTGTGTTTTAGGACATATGTAAGAACCTATAACAGCATGTTTGCCTTTACGTCATTCGGGGTTCACTATGACAAGTCATTGTGTAAGAGGACAAATGGGATATATACTTTCAAGATACAGGGACAGACTTATCACTACATTAATCAACTTATACCTCATGGAGGATCGGGGATGTTCTTACAACTATATTTCCATGACACTGAACATGAGCTTGCGAATCGAATGGCATTTTCTGCAAAACTCAGCGAGAACGTGGTCTTAAAGCTCATAGAAGTGATGAAAAATAACTCGTATGCTTGCTTCTTCCGAATTCTGCGTCATGTCCCTAATTTAGAATCCCATCAAATAGTGCTCAAAACTCATTGTGATAGTGATCAAAGGGTGTTTAACAAGCCAACTGTATCTCAAGTAGCAGCGCTTTGGGTAGAGGGTGAAGGTGCAGAGCAAACATATCGAGGCATATTCAAGTGTACACTAATGGTGGAGAAAGCCGTAGAGTTCAATACTATTATGGTTGTTACGATCCTTTGTAGTATCCATTATTATTTTCCCTAGGTGAAACAGGGTGGCAACCAGGAATTCAAAGATCAGGGACTGGGAACCCAAAAAAATGAAAGAGACGGACTAAACATTATACAGATAATGCAACTTTACACAATTTTAGATCTGCCGACGAAATGATACAATCTGAGAACAAGATCAGTAAAACAGCCAAGATTAAAATTTTATCTATTACCACTACATTTCAGGCAAGTAACTAAAGGTAACTTTTATCATTTTATGCATCAGCTTTCAGCCAATTTGAAGACTCAAAAGAATATGTGTCGATGAGGGAATATTATGCATATAGGTTTCAGATAAGAAAACAAAATACACCTGGTATTTTGAACACTGCTCGAGCATTTTAGCAGTATGTAGTCGACATGTACGTTAAAATAGAAACACAAAGATTTGACTTCCATAGGAAGAAACAGAAATTAATAAGAACTGAACAGCTCCAAGGAGTAATGGACTCTGTTGTTGAAGGGGAGGCTAAGGGTTCGAATGTTGGCCAACGAGTGATCTTGCCAGCTTCATTTATTGGAGGACCTTGGGATATGAAAAGACGTTATGTTGGCGCCATGAGTTTGGTACAAAAGTATGGAAAGCCTGATCTCTTTTTGACAATGACTTGTAATCCTTCATGGCCAGAAATTAAAAAAAAATATGCTGCCAATAGATGAATCACAAAATAGAGTTGATCTATCCACTAGAGTGTTCCATGCAAAACTGAAAACTTGAATTATTGAAAGAAGAGCTCTTTAAAAAAGAAATTTTTGGAAACGTTGCAGCCTATACCTATGTTGTAGAATTCCAAAAACGTGGATTACCCCATGCTTATTTCCTTATCATTTTACACCCTACTTCAAAACTTTACTCAACAGAATCATATGATCAAATTGTATCTGCTGAATTACCTGATCCGGTGGAACAAAAACATTTATTTAAAATGGTCCGGAAACATATGATGCATTGCCCATGTGGTGACAAAAAGCCTGACAATGTTTGTATGCAAGGAACTACCACCAAAACATGCAAGAACAAATATCCTAAAGACTGGGCAGAGAAGACATTGCATGGGGAAAACTCTTATCCAACTTATAGGCGACGAAAGTTGGATAATCGATGGGTTGTCCCATACAATGCATATCGCTTAGCAAAATTTAATTGCCACATTAATGTAGAAATCTGCTCAACAATAAAAGTGGTGAAATATACATACAAATACATATACAAGGGCCATGACAAAATTCATTTCTCTGTCAATTCTGAAGCTAAATCTTCTGAAATAGATGAAATCAAAGAATATCAAGTAGCAAGGTGGGTTTCCCCTATAGAGGCAATTTGGCGAATTTATAGGTTTCCCTTGATATACATCCTGCAGTCATCCATCTTCAACTCCACTTAGAAAATTATCAATCATTAACTTTTAAGGATGATAATGATCTCCGAGATTTGATGAAAAACAAGCATGCAAAAAAAAGTATATTGACTGAGTTATTTAGAATGAATGCTACTGATGAAATAGCAAAGAAGCTAAAATGCACCTACAAAGAACTTCCTGAATACTTTGTATGGTACCCTGGGAAAAAGTTATGAGAGGTTAGAAAACAAAGAGACTGCATTAGGAGAATAGTGACTGCAAACCCAACAGAGGGAGAGCGATAATTTTTAAGGCTACTGCTGCTAAATGTGAAAGGGCCTACGTCATTTGCTGACCTGAAATCATTCAATGGGATTAGTGTGAGCACATTTCGAGAGGCTGCAATCGTGAGGGGTTTATTTGAGTCAAACAATCCTCAAGAGTAATGTCTAGAAGAGGCAGCACTATTTCACATGCCTTATAGTTTTAGGAGGTTATTTGCTACATTATTAGTCTATTTCCCTCCTGCTGATGCTAGATCATTATGGTTGAAGTTTAAAGGCTCCATGTCAGAGGATTTTGCCAGATTACCCTACCTATCGGCTTATGAAAAAGACCACAGGGTCCTTCATGAAATCAACAAGTTTTTAGAGTCAATGGGAAAGAACATCAATTCATATTCTTTAGTTCCCAGAGTGTTGAAGTTTGATTAGGTTGACAAAAGTACAAGCGATACAATGAGTGAAATAAGCGTAAAAGTCATAGAGAATGATATATCTGCAATATCATTATTGAATAAGGAGCAAAAAGCAGCATTTAATTTGATTATTGAAGCTGTCTTTGTGAAAAGTAAGGGCTGCTTTTTCGTTGATGGCTCTGGGGGAACAGGGAAAACATTTCTATATAGAGCATTATTAGCGGAAGTAAGGTCAAAAGGATACATAGCATTAGCCACTGCTTCATGTGGAGTTGCAGCAGCTATACTTCTAGGAGGTCGAACTGCACATTCCCGTTTCAAAATCCCGCTAGACATGAACCCAAATAAGATGTGCAAAGTGAGTAAACAAAGTTCATTAGTAAAGTTACTGCAACGAGCAAAATTAATAATTTGGGATGAAGCACCGATGACACATAAAGCTAGAATTGAGGGAGTTGATAAATTATTCAGGGATCTAATGGACAGCTCTGAGATATTTGGATCAAAGGTCATTATTTTTGGAGAAGATTTCAGACAAGTATTGCCAGTTGTTTTTAGAGGGTCAAAAGCTGATTTTGTTCAGTCTAGTTTAACAATATCTTATATCTGGCCCGAACTCCAAAAGATACAACTGAAAGAAATTATGAGAGCAAAATCGGACCCCAATTTTACAGAATATCTTCTTCGTATCGGCAATGGAACTGAACTAGTTATATATGATGAAAATGTTGAGATACCTGCAAAAATGCTTATCAGATATACCACTGAAGAAGAATCTTTAACTGCTCTAATCAACACAGTGTATCCAGATTTTTCAATTTTTGTTGGCAGCAATTATTCAAGAATCAATAGAGCTATCCTCACTACAAAAAATGATTTCGTAGATGAAATCAATGATACCTTGATCTAAAAATTCCCAGGAGATTTTTTTGATTATATCAGCTGTGACACATGCTTTGATCCTTCTCAACAAGCCATTCTGGAAGATTTCATAAACAGCCTCATGCCTAATGGTTTACCTCCACATCGATTAACTCTAAAGCAAAATACACCAATTATGCTGCTTCGAAACATTGATCCACCTGAGGGACTATGTAATGGCACTAGACTTTTATGTAGATCATTAAAATCTAATGTAATAGATGCTATTATAAGCTCAGGTGAATTCAGTGGAAAACAAGTCTTTCTCCATAGGATTTGCTTTAGAGTTGAAGATGATCCAAATTATCCAATCTCTTCTGAAAGGATACAATTTCCTGTAAGGCTTTGTTTTGCAATGACTATCAACAAAGCTCAGGGACAAACTTTAAACTTTGTTGGTATTTATCTTTGTGAGCCTGTATTTTCACATGGCCAGCTTTATGTTGCTATTTCAAGAGCTAAAAATAGCAATTTTGTCAAGATCCTTATACGACCTCCTATACATGATATTACCTTGGACAATTTGACTGCAAATATAGTCTACCAAGAAGTTTTGCACTTAGCTAATGCATAGTCTTATTAAACATATTGTTTAAATGCACCTGCTGTATATACATCATGTCCCAGTATTATATTAACATAGTTATTTTCCCAGCTACTTGCAGCAATACTACAGAGAAAAATGGACAGCAACTTGGTACGGTTCTATAAGATCAACCCAGAGTTAAGTGATTGGACTACAATTGGCCAAGTCCTGGATAAGCAGAAACCTCAAATTTCAAGGAAAGGAACTTCTTATCAGAAACTGGTCTTTGTTGATGCTGAGGTAATAGTTGGGCATCTACAATTATTTACTTTTATGTTACTCTTTCCTGTTCACAATTTGATTTCTACATACCAATAACCCAACATTCTAGCTTAGAATCAGAAAACTAATTTTGATTTGCAGTAGAATTACACTCACTCTAGACTTTGTTCAGTCTTATTGTAGAAATTTGGATTAAAGTTGACAACAGTTACCTACATCCTCATACTAGAATATGAAAAAACCAAAGAGTAATCAAAATTTTAAAAAATACAGGAAAAACTATCTGTACCATCCAATTTGAATAATGAACAGTTGGCAAAAGCAATTAAATGTTTCCAATAAATTGCACCCTTGATTAACTAAACTGACGTGTTATGGTTTCTCTGTTCATGTTATGGTTTGCTCTGCCGGACAAATTCGCCGAGTGTACCATTTTCAGTAATTTTTATTGTTGCTCACTGATGAGGTAAACTTTGGGGCGACAAAACTGGCTCAAAGTATAGATACGAAGGACCATTATTGAAATTACTTGACAATATAGTTCACCACACTACCAGTTGAGGTATCATACCCGTTGGTTTGTCAAACTACCCTACTCACCATTTCCATTCAGCTCACTTTGGAGAGACTTCTGGTAGGCTAAAACATTGACCAGAACCAATTAAGGCAAAAAAAGTGGTTAACAAACATTAGCAAAAACCCAAACACTTCATGCTCAAGTTCTGCAGCTGATGTAGATCATGGAATGATCTTTCTGGTTATTCGTTTTACCTTTTCCATACTCAAATGTATTTTAATTAAAAATGCTAAGTCAAGTGCTTAACTTCAATACTTCTTGAAATGTTATCATAATTTGTGTTCCTGAAATGTTAACTTCAAGACTTCATCAAGGGTGCAACTTCAATTTATTCTGGGTAATAGGTGCCAAAATTATCCCTTTTGTGACCATACACATAGCTAACCTCTTACTGTCATTTTGTCACAGTGTGCATATAGTTTGCTCCCCCCCTGTGATTATGAGTTTCAGAACCTTTTTGCTGCTGTACATTTCTTATCATTAAATTCTGATTGCACCATTAATTGCTGAGTAAGATTTTTAACAGGAGGCACTGAAATAGCACCCTCAGGTCACACCTGAAATTTGTAAACAAAATTTTGTCGACTGGATCAGTCACGAGTCTTTTCTTGAAGTATATTTGAATATTATCTGAATTCAATAATCTCATTTTTGTGTTACAACTTTGATTTTCAAATACTCTGGCAATCTGGAAACATAGTTCATTTCAAGCTACCTTGCCCCCAACTGATGTTTTTATAGGAATGTGACATTTTCTTGTAACACACATCTTCTTCTTGCATACCTTGATCTTCCAGTATTGACGCCTTGTTTCCATCACCCCCGGTGCAAAACTCAGCCATTGTCAAGAGCCCTTCAGACTTTAAGACCTGAAACATAAAGAAAAGGATAGGGAAATGATGAATCCCCAATATCCCCACCGCCACCGAAACACATGAAATATATAGGACTAAGGGTTGGGTTTTTGGTGTGATAACTCAAGAGGAGGGTAAGGATTGAATCTAGCTTGATGTGCTTTGGCTCAGCAGGTAACTACGAAATGAAAAAAGAAAAAGACAGAAACTAGTCCGAGAAACTAATACCACCTCTCTGGCATGCAAAACTCCAAAATAATACACAGATTTCAAGAGGACTTCAAAATGAGTCTCCTGCGGTATCAGTGGGAAAAAAATAATCACCACAGATATACTAGAAAATAAAAGGCCAACCACGAAATGAAATGAATTAAAGTTTTTTTTTCTGCCTAGGAGAACGTGCTAATGCAGTAAAAAAGCATTTGGTTGGCTGATGCTGCATTGAGATTTGTGATGTGTGTGTCTGTGTGTGTTTTGATTTGATCCATCACTACTGGACCTACTATGGATATATGTGTAGTATCTCGACTATTAATTACTCTTCATTCTTCAATGCTTCTGGGTTTTTGGATTATTTGCTGAGATGATTGTTCAGTCAGCTTCTTAATTAGGCCTTAGCTTCATAGAGATGGAGAAATTTTACACTATCATCAAGAAAGTCTTCAGTTTTGGGATTATAGCTCTGCTCATATGACCACACAACATATACCAGCAACAAACCCTTTATATGGATGGAGACATCACAATAGGTTTGGATTAGCCACTGTTAGTACCTTCGCTTCCGTTGCTCTGCCCTTATATCTTGGCCTCAATAATCCTTTTTCTTGGCCTCTGCTTCAGTAATATTATACTATTATCCTTGTTACTAGGTTGATAGAATGCAATCAGAAAATGAATCACAGATATAATCAATATAATAGTCAATGAACTTACCTGCAATCTTTTAGATGCATAATGATTAAATCTAACACTGAGATACAGAACACAAAGAACACGTCCTGGGATGCTAAAATTAACGCAGGGAAGAGGACTGAAAGAAGATATATGCATGTGATCATCTTATATGCGTGACTCCAAGAGCAATTTTCCCTTCTGCTGACCTTCTACTACTTATTTACTACAGCTTATCACCTTTCTAAGATAGTGATTTGGTCACATTGCTTGGGTAGAATATAAAGCTTAAAATTGGTTATGCTGTAGTTTCATTAACCAAGTCCATGAAAATAGCAATAACTTGTGTTCACCATTAAACACCTAATCCCTCAACACTGACAAAATCAGCTTCACTCATAGGCTCTTATAAGATAATCGGATATTGAATGGAAAGACCGAAAGTGGCGTAGGTACTGAATTGACCAGTGGGTGCCAACTACTCTACTCCCCAGTTTAGTGCTTTTCGCCATAAAGTTAATTCAGAACTAAACGTCCATGGAATTCAAGCTAATTCAGCCTCCATTTTTATCACATTACTTTTTCTAAACTTTGTTTTTAAATACACAGTATTTGTAAGTCTCCTAAATACTTTGTCTCCTACAAACGACATGTGACGCAGTGCCAGCCATTGTACTTTCTACAGGGGTTCTTAAAAATAACTCACCTTTGATATTCCATTCTTTTCTGCATGTCCACTATTTGCCCGCTATTCCATTCTTTCCATGGATTTGTAATTGTTGCAAATGATCAGCTAAGTAATTTGCCCTTGTGCACGGGCTATGAACTGACATGTTCCACTATAACATAGCCATTTACAAATGAAAACTTTTCTATTCAGGGAAGAAAAGCACAAGCAATGATATATGGTGGTGACATCCATTTTTTCAAGAGACATTTCCAGCCATTCCGTCGATACTATATCTCCAATGCAAAACTTGAGACAGTCCAGCCGAGATATAGTACTTATAGCAATGAGTACTGTTGGGTTATTGACAATTCGACCGTTGTGCAACAAGTTTATGAATCGGAGCCTCCGATGCTACCAGATGTATTCAACTTCAAACCATATGGCAGAATCTACACATTGACACAAATGAAGAAATAGGTAACATTTGCCCCTCTCATATTATTCTATCATACATTCATCCGAATAGACAACCTTTCCCTACTACGCAGATCTACTTGGAGTTGCCATACATGTTAACCCAAGGGCCATGAGGGGACCAATACCTACCAGAGAAATAATCATAGTCGATGAAAGGTACATATTACATCCATCCAATTAAACAAAATAACCTTTCGTTTTAAATAAGCACGTCTACCTTGCACATGTAGCTCCCAACCTCTTGTCTTGACACTTTGGGATGAGCATGAATTTGATGAGGGCCAACAAATAGCTGACATGATCCACACACAACCAATCATTGCTACTCTAAGAATTAAAGCAACCTCCTATCATAGTAAGTCTATGCATTTGACTACAGTAATACTTCTGGCTATCACTATTACCCCAAATATTAATGAAATAAAACTGTTCTCTGTGACACATAGCTTTGAACCTGTCAACCAAGTTTGCAACTTGTATATTGATCAATCCTCCAACTGCTCAAGCAAATGCGCTTCGTACTTGGTAATCTCAACCTCTAACATCCAGCATACACTAATATACGTCTTACTCTTAAAGATCAAACTTTACATCATACCTCCATTACCTAATACATTTTGGCACTTGCAGGTCAAGCAAAAATCAAGAAGCATTCCTGAAATTCATTGCAGAACGAACATATGCCGATCGCTTAAATCTCCTCCCAGCTCCGGTCGATGATCGGGTTGTCACTATCAAAAGCTTGACAACTACAAATACGGTAACCACATAATCTGCAATACTTTCATGAAATTTAAAAACCATCTAAATAGCTTTACAACAAATGAACAGAAGCGACCATGCTGGATAAGGGGAATACCAAACCTACTTGATCGAAGCCAGAAAATGTGGTACAATGCATGCCCTATCTGCTACAAGTACCTTAGAGCACGATCGAACTTGGAATTTGACTGCACCTCATGCCACAAAAGCATCCGTGTAAGCCCAAGGTGTATATACTCTTATGCACAGTTACTTTCTTCCAACTTCATCATTTAAAACCAACAGCAAAAAGATAGCCCAATCAATTACAACAACGATGAGTGAGTTCTGAAATAACTTTCACTTCTTTTCTCCCATCATCCAATCTTCATTAGTGGACTCATTTTAGTTTTACTGACAGATCCGGTCCCCTTATTTGAGAAGACTGTCCCCATGCCTAGCCTGGAATGATTTATCTGACTATTTGCCGCTGCTCCGAATACACTGTTTCTTATCTCCGAATTGATTGTTCTGCTGTTAAGAGGGAAAACACCAGATATGCAGCATGTTGATGGTTTGTGCGAGATGCGTATAGGAAACCTTTCCAGCACTAAGAGAAGTCTCTGTAACGAACCAATCCTCTTCTCTTATTCAATTTCTATCACCCTTCTGTATGGAATCTTTCGAGATTGGATGTCATGAGTGGGGAAATGAAGCGACGGGCAAGGCTACCCTTCTTCGTCAACATCTCCATCTCTTCTGAAGCAAATGAATGATGCGAGAACCAAGTCTACTGAATGTCAATCTTGCGAACATACGGCAATTCATCCACCATAACTAAAGATGGAGTACGAAAAAAAAAGGTCTTTTTGAATGATATCAGAATAGGGGTGTCTAACTTGGTAAGCAACAGAGGATAAGGGTACGAATCCTATCCCACTGTATGTATGAACCTAGCCAAAGATCAAAGCAAGACCCTATTTTCAATGAATTCTCCCACATGCGCAACCTCATGCTACTGCTTTTCGGGGAACTTCCTACGTCTTTATGGGAAACAAGGCAAACAAAGTGGTACTGAACCATTCTACTGGTCCGTCTTCCATAAATGATTAGTGGTTGTGGATGATTCACTGGCAGTGGGGAAAGACAAAGAAAAGACTACTTTCTTTAAGCGATTGTCTTCGTCCCGATCCAACAAGGAGGTATAATGGGAGATTTTGTATCGGTATTGAGGTGTGGACGTGCTGAAAGCTTAGCCATACGAAGACTATACCCCTCCGGGGACTCCCTAACCTAACCCAAGTCATCGCTACCAACAAGCCAAGCCCGCAACACATCATATATGAAAAGCTCTACTGACAACAATTGTTTGACCAAAGTGCGACTCTACTTTGAATCACTGCTGAAGTGCATGTCATTGTGATTGTTTTCATTTCTATTGATTTTGGAATTGGTTGGATTATTTTGTCGTTTACCTTGTTCTAAGTAAATCCGCTGCTTTTTAGGGACCCATTTTGTTATTCATGGTACTCATTTATAATGTGGATCTGAAGTTACAGCACTTATACTAGAGAAATAGTGCATAATATGTCCTCATGTTCCATATTACAGTAGCTTATGTGGATTCTTCGGATCTTTTTCCCCTCTGTGTAATCACAAATGGATTGTGGCAATTGTGTATAACCTCATGTTCTGTTGATAAATTTAGTTGACACTGACAACTATCGCATCACAAACAGATGCAGACTGACAGTACAACTTATAGATCACACTGGTTCAATCACCCTTGATCTCAACGGCAATGATGCTGAGCAACTACTACCTTTCACTATCGATGAAATCCAAAAGCAAGAGATACAGGTACAAACACAAATTGCACCTTAAACACAATGCAAACTCACTAAATAATCCATTATTACCTTATCTTTACATTTCCATAATCCATTACAGAACAAGCTGGACTATACCACCGTTGAGGATTTTATTAAACAAAACAACTTGGTCTGTTTGGTGAAGAAGACCCAAAATACATACAATTCAACTGCTGCAGCCAAATACATAGCTATCATTGCTCATATTAGGAACTCAACTCCCGAAGAGCTCGCTGTCATATCAAAGTACACTACCAACTATGCAACCACATTAACATCCTGGAATTCTGGCACTGCAACAACCTTAACTGAAGTAGTAGAAAAATCAGACCTCATCTCCCAAGGAACAGCAATAGAAGTCGCAATGACAGAAATGGAGACAAGGAAAAGAGCCAGCCCAACCAATTTGGACAACTCATCTTCTACAAAGTCCAATGAAGGAATCAGTGGTGCAGCACCTGCACAACAAAAGGACGGAACCACCAAGAAGCAATGCAACTGAATACTTAAGGCTGCCTATTAAAGTATCTAAATTCGTCTACTATTGTTACTATCACTAAATAAGGGACTTCATGGAGCCAGAACTATAACAATTACCCTCTTTCTTATCTTTCCTTTATGAACTATTACTACTGTTCTCGCTCGCCTACTTTATGCACTACTTTAAGGACTATTTGTGCTTTGCAACAGTAACTGCTTCTCATTATTTGATAGCTATTTCTTCTCACAATGTACTATTGTTTGTTCCACAACAAAACCTCCTTCCCCACAGGCATCAAACACTCGCGCGTTGCGCGGGCACTTCCCCCTAGTAATGGTTAGAAAATTTAGTTTTTCAACTATGATAGCACTTGCGAGATTGACTTCACAACTCCTATCAATGGCCAACTATAAATTTTAGCTTTGACACCACAATGAGTATAAAACCATCCATACATCTGAGATTTGATGATGTCCAATTGTTCATCTACACCGCGCAATGCCATATCTTTGATTCCTTTCAGAAAAATGATGTTGTAAGTTAGTTTTTATATGCCTTATGTCCTCTATGATGTATGAGGGAACCTGCAAAAAGTTAGTGAAAGAAAAGATATTTCTTCTCAGTACACAAGCTCACGTATTTACACTCAACCCTCGTGTATCACTCAAGTGTATTACACTCTATTGATCTCACCAACTCTTTCAAGTTTTTGATCACAACCCTTGAGACAATATGAATTGCTCACAATTGATCAAAAACGTTTAACAATTCTCAAGGAAGTGATGTATATGAGATTGGTTCATCTTGAGTTGAAATTTTGAACACAAAAGGACTGATCTAAATGACTCAAAAATGCTGAAACAAGATTGAAAATTTACATATTTAATAGTGAAAAAATAAATACTACGCGACACAAAGAAACCCTAGACAACAAGGTCAAAATTTCGAACTGTTTTGGTCTGATTGTGTGAATTTTGGACCAGATTTTAACTCACAAAAAGCACTTAATTCTTGTTATAAATAGACACAAAAAACCTGATTTGATTTGGTGTTTAATTCAGCCAAGAGGACTCAAATTAGGAAACTTATGACTCAATATAGGAAACTACTTGACTCTTGGTAAACTTAAACTGATTTGGACTATTTTTGGACCATTGAAACTCGAATAAAACTAAAAAATTTGACTCATAACATGACAAAGTGTGGCTGGACAGATTACAACTGAAAATTTGACCAATAAACGACTCGGTTGAAATTTTTGAAAACCTAGAATGCTCTCTACCCGATGTGTTTGTTTGATGATGATGGCTGGAATTTGAAATTTTGGTTTGATGGTTCTTGGATGGACTTTGGAAAGCAAGATGATGATTTAAGAAGCTTTCCTAGGGGTGTTCAATGGCTAAACCAAATTGGGCAAGGAAAATGTGACCAGATTTTGGAAACAATCCAAGTCACCTTTGGTTTCCAAATCAAAATTGTCTTCTTGTTTTCAATTCAAGATTGTGATCCGTATGTCTTGTCCTCTTTTTTTTTCACGGATCAAGACCAGATTCTTTTTCTTCTTTTCTTCATTTTTTTTCACTTCAGATCATCAAGATTCAAGAAACAAGAATGCCGCAACTTCAAGTTCAAGAAGATGAACTTAAGATTTTCGAAAGTTCAAGATTTAGAAACCTTTATTCAAGATTCTCAAAATACCCAACTATGCAATCCAAGAACTTTAAGAGAACTCCAAACCAAATACAAGACTCAAGAACAAAAAGTGACAAACACAAGGTATGGAAAACAGTGTCACTACAATAATGACGAACAGTAACGACGTGATGAACAGTGCCGCTACAGTAGTGATGAACAGTGCCTAATGAATAGTATTTTTTTTACTCAATTAAACCACAAATAAAAATGACTCAACAAGAAAGAAGAATTGAACAAATAATAATAAAGATGATCGCACGAAATTCAAACCCTAGAATGATGAACAATTTTATTTTTGATTTGGGTAGGGTTTGGTAGAAGAAAAAGAGTAAAACAAGAAAAGAAAAAGGATATTAACCTAGATCAAGAGCCAAAATTCGGACACCAACTGATGCGAATTCGATTCCCCAAACTCCCATTCTCGAAAAAAAGAATTGCATAGGCAGTGAAAAAATCTATTTTGATCAAGTTATGGATACAAAGGATGGACTCTAAACCAATCAAGGACAACTCGAGATTGTTTAGAATGGTAGAAAGATGACATAATTTAATGCGATCTTTGTGATAGCCCCACCATCCCTTAGGGCATACCCCGAAGGTTAGCGGACTGCCTGTCCAACACTCGTCAGGACTAACTAATCCGATCATCAACCCAGAACTATATACAATGGAGTCTCTAACGAATCAACTTAAAGTACAAGCCAGAGTATCCAAACTTATACAAATACATGTGAGGTTTACTAATACAGAGGAGTTTAAACAAAAAAAAACCAAAACTATAACTAACTCAACTCCTTCCCCAAATATCACGCTCCTAAAATTTCGCCCCCTATAAGGAAAACAAAGGTAACAGAATGAGCTTTCGCTCAATGAAGTACCAAAAGATCATGCAGTCACAAATCACATAATTAACATTTTAATCTATCAAATATAAGCATCAAATAATGGAATAAGTAAACACCATAACTTATACAGAGCAGTTCAAGTAAAATGATATAGATGGCTCTCAAGAGCCAAATTCCTCGTTGCATTAACTTGATCCAACTCGTTGACACTCCGTCAACATTTAAAGAAGCAAAAATAATGACCGTAGATCTCCACTTTACATCAGTTTCCGTCCACCAAACATACCCCTTATCGGGACGAAACACAAAACAGAAACCGTGGTGGTAATACTCGAGTATGCCAAATATCAAAAGGATTCAGTATTCAGTGAATCAGTAACAGTTTCCTCATGGTTCGTTAATTTACCTCGACCAAATCCTTGCTGGCTCGATTCGATTAACTACCAATGAGGTTTGATCTCAAATTTCACAGTAAGGTCGTCGGATATTAACCTCCAAACGACATCAAATTCATGCACAAGTAACAGATTTCAATTGAACAGTAGACCAGTCAAATAGTAAAGTGGAAGTGAGTGTGATAAAGTACACACACATCCCGTCCAAGATAAACTAAAGCCACAGTCATTCAAATTATAAATTTCAATCACAAGTAAATCATTTAACCAATAAGTTATGCGAGTGGTACACTCACCAGTTCAAGCAAAGTAACATCAAAAGTTCGTCCCCGGGTTATACCCTTGATCACCAACAAACCCTAAGAACAACCAAGATAAAAGTATTATGGTTCAACCATCCAAAGTTTAGGTGAACCAAGGAAAATCCAAGTAACTACTAGGGCAAAGATTCAAATATGATTTTGGAGTGAAAAGACAGCATTTAGACTCAAGGGACATGAGTAACCAAGGAGTTCCTCATTTCAATTCATGGCTGGAAATTTCCAGCAGCAAAATAGCAAAGAAAACAACCAACCTCGAGCTTAAAGTGGAACAAATGGAACTAGAAAGCATGCTAGAAGAAACCATCACTTTTCCTCTTATTTTACACATGATTTTGTCAAAATTTCAGTTTATACACCACCACCAAAGTGAAGTCAAGCAATCACATATAATCTAAGTCTAAACCAACCCAAAATCACCCCTCTAACATCACTTATTTCACAAGAAAAGAAGTAATAAAAATTTCAGCAGCACCTCCCCTTATTTTCTTAACTTTTCCATCCAAACTCAACACCTATATTTATAGCAATCCAATCTTAATCACAACCACAAGTTATAGGTTATAAAGTACACTTGTTTAAGGCCACAAAACCATCCAAAATAGCCAATTATTTAGCTCAAAACCAACCACAATAAAGCTGGAAATTTGTAACCCTAAACTGAAATTTACCACTACAAACTGAAATTTTCTATAATCAAGCCAAAATAACATATAAAAGCTAGAAAATTCACATGGCAAAGCTACTAGATCATGGCCAAGCTCAAATCATCATATCAAAGCTGAAATTTCTCACTCAAAGCTGAAATTTTTCAACCACCATACAAACCATGAAATTTTGCATGAAAACTATCAAAATCAAGCCTTAAATCTACTCATATGTAAGTAATAAAAGAGAAGATGGTTTCTTTATATTGTTACCTTGAAACCCTAAGAAGAAATGGAAACCAAGAGCTTCTTTCTCCCAAATCTTTCCACCAAAGCCCTTAATCCTTCCTAAAGGTCAACTTTTATAGAGTAGATTGCAAGTTTATGGTGAAAACTCAAGGATTTAAGCAAGAATTGAAGGTTGAAGATGAAGTCTCTCTCTCTCTCTTTTCCTCTCATGAAGTTCGGCCAAGGGAAGAGGAAAAATGAAGGGATTTTGGTAAATTTTTCTTTTAACTAAAGGCTAAGAAAGGTCTTAGTCAAAGTCCAAGCTCCATAGCTTGTTGACAAATGTCCTTCCAAGGTTAATCCTCATGTCTTTGTTTTCCAAATGCTAAAATATCTAGCCAACCTCTAATTATCCCTTAACACCATATAAAATAATATCCCTTTGTACAAAACTCCTCTTAATCTTCAAAAATTTATCGTACACACCTTACTAGTGGGTCCTACTTCCATAATGCACCACGAACTTATCATGCACTAACTTATACAAGAAAAATTGTTTAAAAACTTAGGGGGCATTTGGTAAAAGGGTATCGGAATGAAGTAATGAAATAAACTCCATAATTGGTGTTTGGTTCACTGGTATGGAAATTGAAATTTTGGAATGATTTCTAAAAATTTGGCATCCCTCCATTCCTTAGTAAAATTATGGGTTTTGTCCAAAACCCAAGTGTGATTCCAAAATCTTATAATTACATAATATTTAGTAAAATTAATATTTATATATATTATATATATTTATATTATAATATATACATATATATAATATATTATAATTATAAAATTTTATTATAATATTAATATATTATATAAATATATATTATAATTATTTAG